CGTCGAAAGTCGGCACGACGTGCTTGACTCGACCCGACTCGCTACGGCGCTGCGGCGCGACATTGCCAGCCATCTCATTTTCTTCCCTTGCCGGCAATGGAACGTCAAGGATAGTCTACAGTATCGCATCCAGGCGGCTGATTGCTGTCTACGAGGTCGCATGCGTACGACATGGCAGAGGTCGAGACTACATCTTGGGGTAGCAGCTGGGCGAGGGCCTGAAACAGGCCAATGAAGGTGAAACTTGAATCAAGGAGAAGAAGAAAAGCCTGCAACTGGACAGCGTAATTCTTTGTCGTTGACAATCTGAACCTGTTCTCGATTCGCAGTTCGCTAGCCAGTCAGAGATGGACATACCACGTCGAATCTCGAAAAACCTAATAACCTTGAGAGCGTACAGGACAGGCCAACCTGGGCGGCTGGCTGGGTCTCTGGGATAAGCCGGACTTGTTCTTACGAGAGACCAAAGCACCGGGAAACATCTGGTGGCATTCCACACGGCACTTCGTCATCAAGCGGTGAGGGTTCATCAATGATCGTAGCCCTGGCTCCCTGTGACGGCGCTGCGTGGAGTTGCCGTTGGCTAACGATTACGGGCCGTTTCTTGCTTCGGTCCATTATCATGGGCCATGGGCCTTGCCTCTATACTCGATAGGATCAAGGGATGCCGGCGACCGCCCCCGTCACTATGAGTAACTAAGAGGAAACGGCAAAGGAGACGAGTCAGTGGCTGACTGGCTCCTCTGATTATGGTCTTATGGCCCAGAGTTCCCGCTCCAGCTCCTGCCCGGGAACAAGACCCGGTTTCTTTCGCGGTGTGTACCGCGGTTTCCCAGGCCTTGCTCTTAAGGCGTCCCGTGTTAAGGAGCCCCATCGTGAAGCGTTAGACCGGGCAGTCTCCGTTCATCAGTCGGAAGGGTTCAGTTAGGTTCTATAGGCTCATGGGGGAGAACCGGCGATTGGCACGTCAATCCACTCCCGGAACTGACCATGCATTTTAGGGCAATACGGAGCCGAACCCTCTTTACGCGCTGCTTGGCTGGATGGATCTTGCGGTTTGCTTGGGGTCTCCATCTTTCGACCTTGAGCCGCGGCAATCCTGCAGATGCTCCAGTGTCCTGCAGAGATATCCGGTACAGGAACAGGACACTAACGGAGCTTCGCTCGACCAAACCGCAACCACTCACGATGTTTGTCCCCACATGCCGCCAGCGATGCAGCGATGCAGCCAGCATGCCAGCGGCCAACAGGCAGAGAGAGAGGGCCACAGGAGGAAGAGAATCGGAGCATGCTAGGAGCACCAGCAGAACCCGCCCGTCCGCCCGCTCTCCGTTGGTGCGTGTCCGCTTTCCGCCCTTCTAGAAGCAATGTTGAAAGCGGGTTGCGGCAGCATGCAGAGGGATGACCGCTGCGGCCACCAATTGCGATCATCTAAACTGTGTGCCAACTTACTTACCGCCTTGCCCATCTAGACAACCCACAACGCGACAGGTAGTTGTCCCTGGGGGAGGGTTTTGCTGGCAACTGGGCGGGCCACCGTAGCCTTGCAAGTTGGACCGGCGGCGACCTGTGGGGACCGGGTACCTTGAGTATGATTTACTGATTATTAGGTGTCATGCAAGTGACCAACCGCTAAGATCGGGTCAATTCTCAGGCGGAACGCTGTGAAACCGCCATGGCTTTTGTGTTTTCTCGGGGGGGTGTACCACTTGGAGGTGGTAGTTCGGTGTTGTTGTGTTGTTGTTTATTTGTCGTGAATTTGGGGGGGACACTATTGATTGTTTTCTTGGCTCTCCATGGCAACAGGGGGAAAGAACCCAACCTCTTCAGGAAAGCCGCCGAAGGCACTCTATTCTGCGCTTGCCTGGGCCTAGCGGCAGACACCGGTTCGGTTGTGGCTTCTTCTGAGGCGTTGGGGGGGGGGGGGTCATCTTGCGACGACACTCGATCGTTTTTCGTCCTTGCAATAACTCTCTGTCCCTCCTCCCTCGAGTGATGATTGGTATACGAAGTACATACAGTATAGACAACTACATACAGTGCGATCGATGAACTTTTCGAATTGCTGGCTGGCTGATCTGCTCTTATTTTGCGTGCTCGGGGTCATGAAATAGTCATGAATATCATGAAATACGGGGAAGGCCAAGCCCGCCGGTCGCAGATTGGCAACCATTGGCGACCATTAGCAACCGCTGATCCAAAGTTGCGATATGAAGGGGAAATAATAAGACAGATAAGCTTCGCGCAAGCACAGGAAAAAAAAAATCTCTTCAAACTCTCCCACGCTAAGGATGTGAAAGGGGAATTGGTCCCTTTCTCTCGCAGTGCGAGTAACAGAGAGTTGCTGTTGTAGTAATAAGCAATGTGGTATTTTTTTTTTCTTTTCTTGCAACCTTTGACTACACTAGTTTGGCAGTTGTGTCCATTTTGTAGGACGAAACGTCAAGCAAAAAGCACAGCCGACCCGTTCATCCGGTCTTTTTGTTTCCGTCTCTTTTCTGTCATGAATCATTCCCCTTTTTTTTTTCCCCTCCCTCGTGGCATCTTTCACTCTAGAGCGTTTCTATTTTATGCGTTTCGTTTTGTTTCTTTCAAGCCCGACGCGTTTCGAGTTTCATTGATATTGCGGGGTGGGTTGGGTTGGGTTGTAGTCTTGTAGACTGAAGGGAAGGGATGGCATGGCATGGCATGTCACACAGCCTGTACACAGTGTCGACGAATACCACATCGGTGTAAAAAAAAAAAAAGTGTCGCCGTCCAAGCTTCCATTGAAAGGTCAAAGCAAGATAAAGTAGGGATGGAAGAAAAATTCGGACTTTGGGCCGAAATGAATGTCTGTGCTATATGGTTTTCTACGAACACTCGACAGGCAGGCAGGACATTGAAGAAATCTTGTGATGGGTTTAGAATGGGGCCTCTTTCCCAATGGACTTTTCCCATGTGGCATGTGTCAGTGGTTCAAAATCCGACTGGCCGGACCATCAAGCCGTATTAGCATCCTTTTCTGGCCAGGTTGGTTCAGTTGGTTTACTTTACACGTGATGCTGCGTCCTTGAAACTCTACGGGTCAAGTAAGGCTTCAAATTGGCACACGAGTCGCATCGGAATGCAGCGACCCCTATGGCTGTTGCTATTGCCTTGCAATCAACCTTGCGCTTCTTACATGACTGATGATTGTGTCTTTCGGGGAGAGTGATGGTGGTACTGAAGGTTCGGGCGAGGGGAAGCCGTGATCCGGTTGGCAGATATCAGGGGACTCCGAGCGGACGGAATCGCAGTCTTGAGTGCGTGATCTGTCGTCCGATACTCGGGAGAGACTTTCCTCGTATCAGTCAGCCCGTCAACGTAATACATGTGACTGCTAGTCCCTTGTTGATTCACTGCCCGGAGGATTGGGAGGGGCTTCTTTTTTTGGGCTGGCTGGTCGGCTTGCGGGCTGGCTTGTGGGAAAGTGGATGGTCGAGACTATTGTTGTAAGCAGCCTCCTTTCTGCTGAGTTATCAAGGTCCTTGGGGTTCGTTTCTTCGGATTCGCGATTGCCAAATTTCCGGGAGCGAAGGCAACAGTCGTTTTTGACTTTTGACTTTGTGGCTCTGGCGAGGCTGGATATTGTGTGCGTGTAACTCCAATCCTTGGGCTGTCGGGGAAGGTATCAAGTGAGATGAGGTGAGGTGATAAAGCGTCGGGTTCAAAACTGACAAATGTTCGAGCCTTTGGAAATGGTAGGTGGTTTTTATGAGGAAGTTGAAGGGACAGAGATACCTTTTGACTCTTTGGCTCGCGGGCTATGACTGAGAGACTTGGGTCTTTGGTCGTTGGCGTGGAATTCTATCTACCCAGCTATCTAGCCCTTCTTCTCTTTGAGCTCGATCCAATGTTGTGAGGACAAGTCTGGGCCCTGGACGTTGTTCAGCGAGGGCATATCTTTTGATGAGATGGGCTTTGCTATCCTTGTTCTGGTTAAGAGTATGAAACCTGGAATGGCATAAATGAACTGGACTTCTTGGCTTCGTACAACTGATCATATGTTGATCTAGTCACTCTCACACCTTCTCCGGCTGCCTTCTCCGACACTTTGTGGCCTTCAAATAACCCTCAAACTGCCTGAAATGGGGTCGATAGAGGGGTTTGGAAACGCGCCACATCATGGACTGAAGTTCGGCATCATTGCTCCCCTTGTTTCGCATGTCTCTTGAAGGACATACCATCGAGAGAGAGACAGACGCGAGAGACTCACAATCTACGGAAACGACTTTGCAGGTAACTATGAGAGGGTGTTGGTGTCTTCCCACAACGGCAGAAAGGATATGCCCCCGGCGAGATTCTGCCTTGCTTGATTCGGACAGACGTTTGTTCTTTAAGCCTGATGTTAAAATGAGAAGTTTTTGTTACTTATTACAACTGTGAGAGACTTCCAGAGCTCTCCCCCAAAAAAAAGTCTTCGCGATCACCATGTCTTGACCCTTTGAGGGCTTCACTGGCGGTTACATGGGGAAAAAAAAAGTCCCGAGTGTCAGTGCCTCTGATCCCTATCATCTCACCCCTTTATGGCTTACAGGATGGATCCTTACTTTGAACAGGTACAGACACAGAAGAGAAATACGCTCGCCGTAAATCATCTACTTTGTGGCTTCTTCTCATTTGTAAGTGATGACTATTGGCTAGATTTCCGGTATCCCGAAAAGGATTACATGTGACACTTCGGGCCATCATTATTACATGGATGATTGTACAGAATCACTAGTGACGGGGGAAATTACAAAGAGACTCTCTTGATGAGAAACCTCGTCAGGCAGCCGGCTACATGTAGGAAAACACAAATCGAAAAGAAGCCATGGAGTAGACAATCGATGAGCCCGCTCAGGGGACTGTAACCTCAACCTCCCATACCCAGTCCGCGCAGCGTCTAACTGGTAGCGTCACCACTTCCTCCCCAAGTTATCCCGTTGTATGGCGTAAGTCTTTCCAAAAGAAACCTCTCCTCCCAAAAAAAAAAACCCTTACGCCGTCCCAGTCGCAGTCGGACGCTCCTTCTTATAAGGAAACGGCAAATCAGGCAGATCGTCATACAAGTACTTGCCCTCGTTGCAGTTCGACTTGCCCCAGATGTTGCCGGTGCTCTCGTACCACGCCGAGTCGACCGCGAGCGCGGGACAGGTCGCGAAGACGTCGAAGCTCCAGTAGAGCCTCTTCTCCTGGATCGACTTGTCGCCGCGGTCCTCGCAGATGGGTTTGCTGGGCAGCGCGCACGCGAGGTCGGTGCGCTTGAGGTTGTGCCAGAGGCGGTGGCAGACGGCGCCGACGTCCTCGTCGACGAGGGCCGTCAGCTTGAAGGGGGTGACAAAGGTGTTGCCGTGGCCGCGTTTGCAGGCGACTTGCTGCCACATGTGTTGTCTCTCGCGCGGCATGTTCATGGGGCCCTTGCCGCCTGGCTTGATTGCCGCGACGAGGGTCGCTGCCGAGACAAGGAAGAGGAGGAGGAGGAGGGTGATTGGAGACTTCATGGCTTTTGAGGAAGGGTTTTGGGCGAAGTTTAGGTTGAGCTGATGAGGTCTGTACCCGTTTGATTTAGGGGGAGAGAAGGATGTAGAGAAGGTCCGATTTAGATTATGGAGATGGTACGAGTGGGCGGATTGTTAGCTGATAAAGGGGAGTCTCTTTGCCATTCAGCTCCAAGGCAAGTGCCAGAAGAACGTTGAGGAAGACGTCGAGGATGACTTGACGGCTGGACTTGGTGTTTTTTCTCGTTAGACGGCCAAGAAGGAGGAAAGATTTTCATGTGGCTAGCCAGTCGCCTGACTGATATATAATAGCCAGCTTTTACAAAAATCAGGAGAAGTTCAGGGAGAACCGGGGAATGGATCCGGGGAAAGCTCATACTTCTCTGCATACAGATACCTTGTTGACTTCATGCATAAGAGGAGCTATGTGGGAAATATTATTGAGTAATAGACTGTAGTATGTATCTGTGATTTCCCCGTGACGCCTTTCTGACGGGAACTATTTCATGCGAGTACTGACCAAACTTTTCGAGAATCATGCGTCAAAGTCTTGCCCACGATGGCTTCAGGTCCCCCGTCCACCAGTAGAGTGGTCTGCGTTCCAATATTCACAATCTGGATTGGAATAAACTTTGTAGGAGGAGAAGAGAAAAACTGCCGATGACCTTGAGTGACTAATACGAAAAAGCCACAAGACCCAAGAACGGGGACGGAACGTTATTTCAAGTTGATTCAATTTTCGTTGGACGGCCGTCAACATGTCGTGGCTGTCATTATATTGACCCATTCTCTGCAACCGCGGCAAAGCCGTAGCTACTTCATCCGCCGACCACACCATCTTAGCAAACGAGCCAAGTGTTGCTCATATCTCCAGGCTTTATTTCACTGCTAAATTTCCAATTCCTTTTTCTTTACGGTAGAGAGGCTATCAGGTATGTCTTTCGCAGCTGATTGTTTCCCTCAAGTCTGGAAGACCAAGTTCCGGGAATATAGCTAGAATTACAAAGCAGCCAACATCAATCGTTCTATAATTAGATTAGCTAAAACGGAAGAACAGGAATAAAAAATCATGGAGGGTATTTGATTGATTGCCATGCCGTTATACGATGTCCTATAGATGGGTATTGTCACTCATCAGGGTGTACCGCCTTTCCTGACGTTCGGAACCTTAGGCGGTCCAAACTTCAGACTTACATGTTCCCTCCTTCCATTGCTTAAGCGGAATCGCTCATACATGTTCCCCTTTTCGCGAACCCAAAGCCAGGCCTTGAAGAGCATCACACGTCTGTGGCCATACAATGATTTCATATCCCATCGTCTTGAGGCTGCAGAAGGTCTCCACTGGCCCGGCTTGGCCCCCCTCCAAACCTATGCTCCGCCTTCGTACACGAGACCAGAAAAGTCTATTCCTACTAGAGAGGAATCTGACCCCAAGACTATGCATAAATCATGCATGCCATAGCTATATCCATCTTTTTCCAGACGAGGTCTCATCAAGATGTTGTCGGTCGATGGTCAGCATGGAGGGCCACACCTCAAAGCCGACGCCGGCATCTTATATTGACACTCCGGGTTCTCATCTTCAGCCACCCGACGTGCTTTATACTACTGCCACGTCTGCGTGTATATGTATCAAGTAGTAGGCAGAAAAACATGGTGCTGTGCAAATGGCTTCTCCATACGGAGTTCAACATACGGTGTCGAGCTTCGTGCGAGCCGAGAAGCTTGTCATCCTGCTCACTGAGTACACCAACACGAAGAGGACCCCACGGGAAAATAGGAATGATACAATGTTGGCGAAATTCCCAAAAAAACTATATCACACGGCCAGTTGAATGATTGCATCTATGACCATTTCATCAACAGCAAATATCTCGCCCCGTAAGCCCGATCCCCAAGAATTCCATGCAACCCCCCCCTCCCCCCCCTCCCTCACTTCAATACACACCTGAGATCGAAAATTGCATATACGAGAAATAATTCATCCGTTCAGAAAAGAACAAGATACCAAACGAGATAGATGCTGAACAAGATCAGGAAGGCACAAAAACACGTCAGAGTCAAGAGTAGAAAACCCACAAAGGATCTATGAATCCATATGGGGTCTTGTGAAAAGCCCAGATGTTCCCTCTTAGTGAGCTGAAAGCAAGTCGGTCGGCAGAAAATGAGCATAAAATGGAGGGATCTATACAAACATGTCCATCGCAACCAACTTCCGCTCATTCTAAGCGTCCTTCCTCGCCCCTTCCTTGGAGGTAGCTCCGTGAGACTTTCTTATTCCCTACGACATCCGCTCCTAGTGGTAGGTCCATTGATACGGATAGGAAGGAAAGCATTCATTGTCAGTGCAACGAAGGGAGTGGGTGAATGTGTTCCACAAATAGCACACAACCCGACCACTATTAGAACGCCAGCGAGAGAGGAACCACATTACCGGCGCCGACGATGCGTTTCAGCGGATGTGGACTCCGTCAAAGTCGCAGCCCGCGCGGGTAAACAAGCTTGCCCCCCGGACCCGCATCCGAACTCCTTACGCTCGGCCGGTCCGGGAGCCAGTCAACCTCATCCCGGGCCTCGAGCGGACTTTATTCCGTACTACTTGTGGTGAAGTGTTCGTCTTTACTCCTGATCCACTTGCAACAATTCATCACGAATAGCAAAGACGACAAAGTCCACAAATCTTTTGTAAATAGTTCCAAGGGCGCAAAGCGCAGCCCATAATGAGTAATCTCTAAGATAAGCATAATGCCAGATGAAGAACAGATACAGACGCTGAGCCCCGGGGATGTCACTCGCACGGGGCCACGGCAGGGTTCATCCGTGCTACTGGTAAGGTAAGCTACAATAGCTCCCCCACACGGAGTCCGCCTTCGACCGGTTTAGCCAGCCAGCCCCATCCTCAGTCCAACGACCATTCCAGGTATTGGTCTATATTCTCCCATGTAACGCCATCTTAATGCTTAGCCGTGACCTTGTCGCCGGTGAGCTTTTCGACGTAAGTCTTGGCCCTATAGTTTCCAATGATTAGTTATGCCCGTGTTAAGATAAAAAGGGTGGGCGGGGGCAACTCACATATCACCCAAAGCAACCATGCAAATCGTCTGCCAAACGCCGAGACCAATACGAGGAGCAACACCACGGTAGAGACCAGAGATACCGTTGGTGGAGTAAATGTAACGGAAAGTGTTTCCGACCGTCATCTTCTTGGGTCGGTTAGGGTCCTCCTTCTTGCTCTGCATCTCGACACGGATGACCTCAATGGGCTGGTTCCAGGCGGACAGACCGCCACCGAGACCGGAAGCAAGAATCTTCTCCCAGGCGGCGAGCTTCTCGCCGTCCTTCTTGCCTCTTACGTCGCGGATACCCTGCTCGGCCAGACGAGAGAGACCGAAACGGGAACCCCAGTTGGTCATCTGACGGATGGCGACGGCGTTGACACCCTTGTTGATGCCCTTGATACCCTCCTTGCGGTAGATACCCATGAAGGTCTGGAAAGTGCTGGGAGGCGGGACGCCGGTGGAGGCAACCTTGTGCTTGGTGATCTCGACCGTCTTCATGCAAGTGCAGAAACCCATGGTGGCATAGGCCTGGGCAACACCACCGGTGATACCACCGATGATACCACCGCCAAACTCGGAGGCACCAGCGTTGCGTGCATAGTACTCGGCCTCGGAGGCGACGAAGAGAAGGACGGCGCCCTTGGTGGAGGCTTCAATCCAGGCCCAGGGGATGAGGCCCTGGTAGACTGCGAGGGAGGAGAAATGTCAGTGATGCTTGCTTGTGGGGTGCTTTGTCTTCTGGAGAGCTTCATCATCAAGCAATCGATGGCCATCAAACGGGCGGCGATAGGCAGCTCGATTGACGGATTGATTTCCAGTCGTCATCTCCAAGAATCACGAGAATCATCAGAATTGAGAATGGTGGTTTACTCACAACCAAGGACACCACCGCGACCCCAGATGCGGCCCAGGGCAGTGCCAAAGCCGTCGCCACGGTTGGCAGCCATGGTGGTCTTGACGACCTCGAGCGGCTGGCCAAGAGTGGTGACCTCGAACATGTTCAGACCGGCGCCCAACAGCAAGTTGGAGAACTTGACGGGCTTCTTCTCCAGCTTCTGGGGCTCCCCGATGGGGGCGGGCATAGTGGCGACGGCAACCATGGCTCTGCTACTTGTGATGACGGAAAGGGGCCCTGACCAAGGGAGGAGGGTGCTTCTTCGCGGGGGATGCGAGGTGCGGCGGGAGGTTTAATGGAAAGTACGGGGTAGATGCTTGGGAATGGAGCCAAGCGAGGAATGGGGAAAAGTGCGGCAGGTTGCGGGATAAAAAAAGGGCTGGGAATGACCTCGGATATTCGAGCTGTGTGTTTGGTTGGTATTTCTCGGAGGAAGGCCGAGGTCACAGGTGGCTTTTGTGTATGAGGTGAGGAGAGATGTGTTCGTTCGAAAGTTAGGCGCCCGGGGGACTGGGCTGGTTTTGGTTCTAGTTCGGGGGTAGAAGCGTGCGTTCTCAGTGACAAGAAACAGAAGAAACAGAAGCAGGAGCTCTCCGTGACTGAGCGGACGTGGGAGCAGGCGCCTTTTGCACGTGGGAATTGGAGTGGATTTGGGAGGGAACAATGAGCAAAGGCAAGGCAGGGGCAGGGGTGTGCTACCTGAATGCTGGAGCTCCTCAATTTTTTTGGTCCCAGCCCACCTCAATGCTCGCTCTCTCTCCAGTCTCTCTTGCTAGGGCGGGCTTTGCTGAGCTTGGAATCGGGCCAACTTTGAACTCCATTGGACTTTTTGGAGCCTTGGACTTGGCCTTGATCGGAGGACCGATCTGACAGCCTTAGGTTAGGCTATTCACCCGAGTATCACCTCGGACGACCTATTAGATGGCTAGTGGACGTGCATATGCGATACATACGACCAGACAGAGTTGCATGTTTCCTCTCAAGTCACCAACCCTTGAAGCATAACGGGCGGCCGAGAGCCCCTTGTCTGAAGTCTCCCCCAATGGTTG